AGCCCACTCACCGCACTTTTCTTTAACATAGTACTGGAGGTCCTCGCCACAGCAATCAGACGACACAAAGAAATAAAAGGCATCCAGATTGGCAAGGAAGAAGTTAAAATGTCTCAGTTTGCAGATGACATGATATTGTACATAAAAAACTGTAAAGAATCCACTCTGAAGCTATTAGATCTAATACCTGAATTCAGCAAAGTTGCTGGATACAAAATTAATATACAGCAATCTGTCACATTCCTAAACATTAACAATGAACTAACAGAGAGAGAAATCATGAAAACAATTCCATTCACAATTACATCAAAAAGAATAAAATACCTAGGAATTAACCTAACCAAGGAAGTGAAAGACCTATACTCTGAAAACTACAAGACACTCTTATGAGAAATTAAAGAAGATACCAATAAATGGAAACACATCCCTTGCTCATGGATCAGAAGAATTAATATTGTCAAAATAGCCATCCTGCCTCAAGAATCTATAGATTCAATGCAATTCCTGTCAAAGTGTTCTTCAATGAACTAGAGAAAATCATTCTAAAATTAATATGGAACCACAAAGGACCTCGAATAGCCAAAGAAATTCTGAGAAGGAAGAATAAAGCTGGGAGGTTATGCTCCCCAACTTCAAGCTCTACTACAAAGCCACAGTAATCAAGACAATTTGGTATTGGCACAAGAACAGACCCACAGACCAATGGAATAGATTAGAGTGCCCTGATATAAACCCAACCATATATGGTCAATTAATATATGATAAAGGAGACATGGACATACAAAGGGGAAATGACAGCCTCTTCAACAACTGGTATTGGCAAAACCGGACAGCTACATGCAAGGGAATGAAAGTGGATTATTGTTTAACTGTATACACAAAAGTAAGCTCGAAATTGATTAAAGACCTGAATGTAAGTCATGAAACCATAAAACTCTTAGAAGAAAACATACACAAACATCTCCTGAATATAAGCATGAGCAACTTCTTCCTGAATGCTTCTCCTCAAGCAAGGGAATCAAAAGTAAAAATGAACTCATGGGACTACATCAAACTAAAAAGTTTTTGTATGGCAAAGGACAGCATCAACAGAACAAAAAGGCATCCTACAGTATGGGAGAATATATTTGTAAATGACATATCTGACAAGGGCTTAACATCCAACATATATCAAGAACTTACACACTTCAACACCCTAAAAGCAACTAACCTGATTAACAAATGGGCAGAGGATATGAAGGAACACTTCTCCAAAGAAGAAATTCAGATGGCTAACAGACACATGAAAAGATGCTCCACATCACTAATCATCAGGGAAATGCAAATTAAAACCACAATGAGATATCATCTCACACCAGTAAGGATGGACAGCATCAAAAAGACTAAGAACAACAAATGCTGGCAAAGATGCGGAGAAAGGGGAACCCTCCTACACTGCTGGTGTGAATGTAAGCTAGTTCAACCATTGTGGAAAGCAATATGGAGGTTCTTCAAAAAACTAAAAATAGATATACCATTTTACCAGGGAACCCCACTCCTTGGAATTTACCCAAATAATACAACTTTTCAGATTCAAAAAGACATATGCACCCCTATGTTTATCGCAGCACTATTTATAATAGCCAAGATATGTACCCATCAGTAGATAAATGGATAAAGAAGAGGTGGGACATATACACAATGGAATACTATTCAGCCATAAGAAAGAAATAAATCCTACTGTTTGCAACAACATGGATGGGGCTGGAGGACATTATGCTCAGTGAAATAAGCCAGGCAGAGAAAGACAAATGCCAAATGACTTCCTTCATTTGTGGATTATAACAGTGAAGCAAAACTGAAGGAACAAAATGGCAGCAGACTCAGAGACTCCAAGAATGAACTAGTGGTTACCAAAGGGGAGGGATGTGGGAGGGCAGGTGGGAGGGAGGGAGTAGAGGATTGAGGGGCATTATGTTTTAGTACACATGGTGTGGAGGATCACGGGGAGAACAGTGTAGCACAGAGAAGGCACATAGTGAATCTGTGGCATCTTACTGCACTGATGGACAGTGACTGCATTGGGGTATGGGGGGGACTTCATAATATGGGTAAATGTAGTAACCACATTGTTTTTTCATGTGAAATCTTTATAAGAGTGTATATCAATCATACCTTAAAAATTTTTTTTTAAAAGATATTCTTTCTCTCTTCTATCTCTATTTATTTTTCTCCCTTTTATTCTCCTATACCTTCTTTCTGTTGCCTCCATTTTCAGGTAGGCTATACCCTCAAGGTCACAAGGATCCCAGGCCTACATGCTTTCTTGTTCAGCTCTAGTGTTTAAGTGAGTTATTGCTCAAAGTTGAGAAACTATGTCTTAGCTCTCTCTGCCCAGGTTTACATCTTCCTTGAACCAATCATCATAAAATGGTTGATGTGATATGCTAATAGACTTGAGGTAATCAGAATCTATTTCTAAATCTTAGAATGTGGTCAAACCTACTCATACCATGTTGTTGGGAAATGTTGGCAACAGTTCAAAGAGGGAGATGGCAAATGGATTCTAAGAAGAGTCTGTCCATTATAGATAACAACACTCTATTTTTGTTTGGACTTTAAGGAATTTTGATTCACTGTACATAAAGGGCTAAACAGGAAAGAAAACAGTTAACTTATATACATATTTTTAATGCACTTCTGGCTATACTTCTGTATAGTGAAGATTTTCCTACACTAAATCTCAGGACTATACTGAGAAAATTCAACAGTTATAATTTCAAATTATATATGTTGTAAATTATTTTTTAATCCATAAACTATAAGCATTGCTCTTATTGCTCAAAAAAAATGGCACCTCTTTCTGTATCCTTTTCATGTCCCATCCTGACATATATCATAGTAAACAACTTACATATTTATGTGTTTATAAGAAAATTTAAATTAATTATTTTGGATGTATCATGAGTATTGTTATCTAAAACACTGGGGTAAAGTGTCATTCTCTTACATTTAAGATTAGTTTAAACTTCAAAACTCAGACTACTTAATCAGTTTTAGGGAAATCTAAATGTAATACTCCATATTTTTAAAAATGATGAAGGAAGGATGCATAATAATATGAAATATCTTCTCAATTTAAATATATCTCTGAATTTTTTTCTTTAAACAATAATGATTACTATATCCATGAGGAAATTTTGATATGGCATAATCTTTTAGAAAGAAGTCCTGTTTGGTAGTTTCCTTAATAATGGAGTTGTAAACAAGTTTCTATACATTCAATTTTTCTTCTAAGCTGATGTGGAGATACATACAGCTAGAGAGTCCCATTTTGCTTAACTATCCCAGCATTATGTAAGTATTTGGTAAGGATGATACTAACATAACATTTTACAGAATACAAAAACATGCAGACATACATCATGGCAGGACAGTGGCTGGGACACATTAGGGGTTCTGATCAGTTATTGAATTAATTAGTTTAATATGGGCTTATTGGTCTTTTGAACATCTAGTGTCTTCTTCACAACTCTATTGTTATTAAAGTGCTGTTTACATATTTTAACAAATGGAGCCCATGATCAGTTTGTAGGGCTTTGAAGACAAAAAACAACAAAACAAAATAGAAAGTTCCTCAAGGTCTTCTTTATTCCTGCTTTGAGGAAACAGGCTTATCATTGTTTTCTGTATGTCCCACTTTGCTCAACTGATGATCTCTCAGTTTACAGTTAGCAGTCTCTCAGTTTACAGGATTTTGAAAAGTGCATGTCTCTAACTGATACAATCCTGAACTGTCAACAGGGCTTGTCAACAAGGGGCAATCCTAAATGTATTCAGATACTTTTTTTTGGCTTCTTCAAAACCTTTCTTTTTTAATGCTTTTGTTGTCAAGAGAAAAACAAATGAGCTGAAACATGGGTAGTTGAGCCTCCAGGTCTGAATGCAAAACCAGAGTTCTTCAGTTGAATTTCACAGCAACTAGATACAAACTTCATAATACGTAAAGAACTCTGCTGCTGAGGCTGCAGGCAGAAATGAGATGCAGCCGTGCCTTGCATCCCACCACCGGTAGCTTAACTACTTCAGTTTTATCCAATGTGTTCCAACAAGGCCTGACAAACTGCGCTGCAGAACAAGAAGCATCTCTCGGGCGATGATGCGTAAAGACAGAGGGATTTTTTAGTCAATCGCAGGAATTAGGCTTTAATGCTTTCCACTAAAAGACTTCATACCCCAGATAGCTGACTGCTATCCACTGAATCTTGGCAGGCTACAAGACTGCTGAAGCTGAAACTGAGAAGCTATGTGAAGCAGATTTTCATGAATGTACAAATGCTCTATTTGTAAAGCCGTTTTTCTTTGTTGCAGTTCAAAATGCTTTTTTGTCCATTTTTAAGTCTCTCAGTTTGGTCAATTCTTAGTCTTTATCAAAATTATTTTCCAGAAATGTCCCTTAAAGAGCCATAGGAGAGAAATAAATGCTCACCACATCAGAAAATAAATGTCTTATTAACAGAATAATCCTAAATATGTCAATTTAAGAAATTAAAAATGATCATGGTTGTGGGGTAAATGGCAGAATTTCCAGAATCTCCTGCCTAACCTTAATCTATTTACGTATCAATAGGTGTTTATTTCTGTAGCCTCCTGCAGCCTCCAGATCACAGGATAGAGAGAAAACAGCAGTTGTCTCCTCTTGTCTGTTCCTGGTAAGTAAGTGGTATTGTGTCTGCCAGTCACCAAGGACTGGCCCATGGAGCCGAAGGGGCTGGGGGAGAGGTAGAGAGCCCACCAAGGCAGCCGAGCACAAGCCATGGCTGGAGATTAACAGGGCCAAGCCTGATTAGGGACTGTAAGGAATTTAAAAAAGCCTATCTCCCAAACTACCCTTTCCCTTGACTTCCTTTAGTTTCACCAGTTTCATAGGAGACTCACCCCATGCTGGGAAGACCCTTTGCCCTGGAGGCACAGTGGTCTTTACAAAAACAAGACACACAGAAAGACATTAAATACTTTACCATTATTTGGAAGTTCTAGGTGGCTACAGATGCCGTTTTTGGTTCTATCTTTTGGCGAAGAGATCAGTTTTGCAACGAGAGATGCTGAGATGGGCTGCACTAGTAGAGAGGTGAGGTTTGATCGGTTTTGCCTAAAGCTTCCATCTGTGTTCAAAAGGAAAAGGAACAGAATCCTTAGTAAACAGAAATTAAACACTTGAAGAGTTCTTTTTTTTGTAATAAGCATTTAAAAGATGAGCAGTGAGTTCATTTTAGTTCATTTGTTTGTATATTCCTTAGTTATACTCTTTCCACTTGTTAAAAATGATTTGAGGTACTTCATAATCAAAATTCCATCCAAATACTTTATGTATCCTATAGCAGATTGTACATATGCATGAACCTCCACTCCCCCATAAAACTTCACTGAAAAGACTATAAAGGAATAAAAATGCATAAATCCACAGGGGCCAAGAGAATAGAAGAGACAATAGCGATGTGACTCTGAAGCTGGAAAGCATATACATAAATGTCAACTGATGTAACAGAGCCAAAGACATCAAAATCTAAGCCATCAGAGGGGAACTGAGAAGCAATGAAGTTTGTCTCACAGAACCTAGAAAGGCTCAGGAGTTGGAAACAGCTGCTACCTATTAAGAGCAGAAGTTAAGGAAGGACTAGAAACAGGAGAATTTGATGAAACTCTGATTGTGAGGGGTCTCTCCTCCTGAATCTTCCCCTCACCCAGTTCATGTGAACATGCCTTCCTCCCTCCCCCACTCCGGCAGGAAACTGAAAGTAGGATGCTGAACAGGGAGATGCCAGACACAGCGCAGGGTGAGTCTCATGCTTAAAATGGGATGGTGTTATGATGGCAGAGATTCTTCAGATGTTTTGCTCTCTTGGTGCCAAGACTCCTTCCTTCCAGGTAGGGCAATAGATGTTTCACTTTTAGTAAATATAACCAGGTCAATGGAGAATAAATAAAAATATTGAAAGTTTGGAAGTCTACAAATAAAACAATGGACCCAAGACATCCTGTGTTAAAACTCATCAGTCAATAAATCCCAGCCATACACAAAACTTCAAATCAACTTAATTTTGCCATTCTTAAGTGGCAGCTCTCAGCCAAGGATAATCATAAAATGACACACGTGCAGCAGATCTACTGACAATAAGAGAAGGGAGGTCAGGGGGTTTGGAGAGGGAGGTCTCCAGGAAGACAAAAATAAGTGAATACCAGATGTGTGTAACTGTATTGAAAAAATTATTACAGAAAAGTCAGAGCATTTGAAGAATTTCTAGATACACAGAAAAACAGGAAATCTGTGTAATGAGCTCAAAGGGAACAAAAATTGTTTAAGAAATGTACAATATGAAAAATATCTGCACACTCAATAATATACATAATTACTTTTTTAACACAAAAATTGATATTAGTTTTTAGGAAAAAAGGAAAAGGCAAATATCAGGTAAGGGTACATGGAGGCTTGGGAAAAAAAATTAAATCTTTGTCTTCTATAGTGGTAAATCAATACAATGGATAAAACTAAAAAATGAATTCGATTTTTATACATGCTCTTGGAGACAGCATAAAAATAAGTAGGTAACAACCAAAATTGTTAGAAGCAATTAAATGTTTTCCTTTGGGAAAGAGAGGATGGGAGAAAGAGAGATATTTTTCTAAATTAAGTTTTGTAGAAATATTTGACTATTTATATTCAGCTATAACTTTGAAAAAATTAAAATTAAAAAAAAGGAAAGTGTAACACAAGCACTCAGCATAAAGAGAATAGTTAATACACTAAATTGTGCCTACGAACTAAGAAAAACTTTTTCAGTTTATATATTTATACTGACTCAGAAAAGGAAATACACAGTGGAATGACTATCAGGTGGCCAATAATGTTTGTAAACACAGAGCTTTATTTTTCAGAGTTTTTATTAGGGAAAATAATTGCCAAAGTTTTTCTCCGAGTTTAATTTGATAGAACCGCAGGGGATGCAGAGCTCAAAGATACTGGTACCCAGGCTCCAGGAGGCAGATTATAAATGAGAAAAGATGTTTCAGAAATATTTCCTTAACTTATCATCTAGAAAACCACAAGGCTAAATAGTGGTATTCAGCTTAGGCCTGTGGAAGCCACAGAAGTCATGGCTTTGAAGAAAAAATACACAAGATTTAAGCTTCGGACCAGTTTTGGTATATAAGTACAATGCTAGTCTCATAATCTGGCAACCTCTATTATATGGATATATGACAGTGCATTTTGACCACAGTGTAGTTCATTACTTCCTAACCATTTTCATCTCATAGCGCCAAGACTGGCTATATAATTTGCGGGGCCCCGAACAGAATGACCATATAGGACTTCGTGTTCAAAAAACAACAATTTCAATCCAGCCAGAGCAGAGCATTAAATCAAGCGTGGTGCCTTTGGAATGGGTGCTCTCTGCAACTACAGATTCTAGGCCCTCCATGCTTCACATAGAAGATGCTGGTGGTCACACAGCCTGACGAGGTAAACTGAAGGGGACTTCTGCTGCTCTCAACCTCAAGTGACAAGCCCTGAGTCTCTGCTACGCCAGGCTGCACCCAGGGCCACAGTGATTAATACCTCAGCTCACAGACCCCAAGCCTCAGCACACCAGCTGGGAGACCATCTATTGCCATCTCACCCTGGTTATCCCAGCATGTATTTTCTCCCTCGGCTACACCCTTCGGAACTTTTATTGTCCAGGGACAACAAAAAGTATTGAGGAGAAAACATATTTAGGAAAAAGAATGTCAGAGAAATGTGCAATCTGTTATTTTGAAATTTTCGTGGATGTTAGGGGCTGACACATTACCAATACAAAGTAAATTTATTTGCTGTATGATTTCATCTCTCCCAAATTCAGCTACTCAACTCTGTAACTTGTCATTTGGGGCTTTCACAATTTCAGACCTTATATTTTTAACTTTATTTCCCATCATTCCTCTCCATACATCTTATACCAAAACTTATGCTGCCCCCACATGCTCTGTGATTTACATCCTCCATATTTTTGCTTAAACTGTCCTGTCCACTTTATTCACTCTTTTCATGCACCACACGTGTGAACTATTCACTTTAGACCCTTACTCACACATCACTTTCGGCAACAAGCTTTCTCTGACATTCTCCGTTCTAGGTGATACATGATACATCTGCCCTTTTTTTTTCAGTGTTTCCACTCTAATTAACATCATCACTATGTAAAAACACTTTGTTTTTCCCCCCTCTGAACTCTAACTTCATTGAAGACAAGGTCCACGTCTTCCACATCATTGCATGAAACACAGTGCCTATCACATTGCCAGGAATATAACAGGAGCTCAGTTTAGTGGAAAAAAGAAAGAATCAATAATTCTTTGAGAAATAGTTTCAAAGCCTCTATCTTACTGGTTTCCTCTATGCCTAGGATATACAGCAGGGATACAGCTGAAGAATAAATTATAGTTCTATTAATCCTATGACTGCTATACATCTTTGCTTTTCTTCCAGCTACCTACCTTCCCACAGCAGACACATTACAAAGGCTTTCAAAATCCATCCATCCCCATCAACAACCTGATTAACCTTGCTCTAAAAGTACCTTTGGGAATTAAAAATATATATATTTCTATAAATAAAATCGTCTTTGACATATATTTACCTGTTAATAAAAAAATCAGTAACTGCATTCCTTTTTTCTCTAGAACGCTCTATTAGAAATATGGACCAATGCACTTAACAGTTAAACATGAGTGAATCCTAAACTATAATTGAACATACCAAAATCTTTGATTTTTTTGTGCTGCATGACTAATCGACTTGCATTAGTTCTAAGATATCTGAAGTAAGTGGTTCATTAATTTTTCACCTTCAACTTAATGGAAATTTGACAAACAGTGCACTCCTGAGAGCAGATGCTAAAAGCAGGACTTTACAGGACACCAGATTAAATTATAGACAAAAGTTTTAAGAAAACCCACTCATTTATTTTTTTAACTCTCAGCTCTCTAAGAAGAGCTAAGAGAATAATTTCATTTTCTTACATCATTAAGGTTTGAATAAAACCAAACATATGTACCATTGTATTCAGTTACATTTTAAAACACATTTATGAACTATAAGGATCCATTAGATATGAACTGAATATCAGGTGGATTATGTGTTGTGATGCAAAGGGTACCATCCAGAAAATATTTTGACATTATATTTCAGCATCCTTTTAGATTTTTATCATTTATATAATACCATGTACTTTGTTTATGCTCAATAAAGACTGACACCAATTTTTATTTTAGTAGATGGGCTAGCTAGTTCTCTCTTTACTTTATGCACTCTTTGTAAACCATATAAACATCCAAACTGATCGGTGCCTTCAATAATCCACACCCTGATACAATGCCACATGCACATAGTAGAGGAAATTGGATATACACAGTCCCAAGTTTGACTCTATTCACTGACTCATTGTCTGAAATGTAACACACTAATAATGTCATGTGACAGTATTGTAATCCTGCCTACTGCGCCTGAACGACCAGAGTGACTCCAAAGGCTCTTCATTATGCTGACTTGCTGAAATAAAAAGAGTACATTAGCCCAGAGGACTAGAACCTGAACCTCGGTGAGTGAAATGTAGAAGAAATGAGATTAAAAATATGCAAAATGTTTTCAAATTGTATATAATAAATAGGTTTTGCATTATGCTTTTCAATTGTTCATGCCTACTTCAGTCTTGTCCGGTTATGTGCACAAAGAAAACAAGAACACTCTGGGGGCTGCCTGCACTTTTGTGGATGGCAAGATAGAATTCTTTTAAATTAATTGAAAAGTTAGTGTATACAGCAAGTGCCAATTACCCAAAGAGTATCAGGAAAGATAAACCTTAGAGAATAGAAATCTTGGGCCAAAACCATCAAAATTAAGGCACCAAGAGGTGAAATAAGGTTAAAAAAAAAGTGCTGGTTAATAAAGCAAGAGGAATTTGTCTGGTTCAGCAATGATAATATGCTGCTATTGAGAATGATAGTACAATTTCCCAATTGGGGAGTATAACTCAATCCTGGGAACTTGACGTGTGTGTGTGTGTGTGTGTGTGTGTCTGTAAACGAGATGTGTGCTACACCATATAAGCAGAGATCCTAGAGACCC